TTGTTCACATTACAGTAATGTTCAAGGTTACAACAGGGTTGTTCTTCAACCCTGTTGCAAATCAGGATCATTACCTGATTTGCAACATGGCTGTTTGGTTAAGTGGTACAGAGTAAGGTGAAAGACCTAGATCTGTATTTGAGAGAGTGTACATGGTGCTCAGGATATAGGCGTCCTGCTCCATGACTAGAGCAGTTGTACTCCAACACAGGCTACTGCAATGAAAATAGTTTACTAAGATACTTCTGAATCTACAATAATCTGCTGCATCAGCAGTGTTTTTTTTTTTTTAAAGAAATGGACCCCTTGAAACAAAACCTCCAAGAGACCTCTGTTCACATTTTTTTTTAATGAGTAAATAATATTTTAGGTAACAGCTGAAAAGAGAGTCTATCCAAACTTTCATCCAGAAGACAGCCCAATGGTATTTTTTTGTATTTCTGTGGATGAATTTAGCTACTTTTCTCTCAGAAAGAGCACAGCTGTGACTTGTGAATAAGAAATGCTCTGAGATTTTAGTGATTAGTTGATTTGCATCTTTAGTTGAAAGGAAATTCTAACTAATTAATGGACTCAACTACACTTGTTTCAATTTAAATAAGCAAGCCTAAAAGCTTTCTCTGCACCTCTGTTTGTTTAAGTTGGGTTTGCCTCTTTGATCTCATGTTAACATACCTTAATGACAGGTAAAGATTGATAATGGTGTATTGTAAAGTTCAGGTAATAAATGGTGTTTTACTCATAATAATGCTGAATAATGTACTTTTTATGACCCATTTTGATGGAAAATTTCCTTGTCAACTCTGCCTAATTGTCCAAACAAAACCACCCATTACTTAAAGAACTACATGTCTAACCTAGACACATTAATTAGGGTCATGACTGAGCTACGCAAAGGAATATAGTAACACTTCAGCTATCTTTAAGTATGATCTTTGGATAGCAGTCCTAATGTTAAACTGAAATTTAATGGGGGAGATGTTTACACTACCCTTTTGTAGCTCACAGGCATATGTTGGAATCCATCCATAGTGGCTGGGTGATGGGAAAACAACATCTCCCTGAAGGTCTCTAAAGGTCATAAACAATATTAGTCTGAACATCAGAGATCACAACATCAAGTAAACCTGGACGAAAAAGGAGGAAAAGAGTTTTCTGGGTTTTCATCCAATCAGAACTTGAAGTCAGTAAATATCATGTTCCATTGAACTGAGGGTTAAAAAGGGGGTTAGTCTTCAGCTGTCAACATCTTGCAATCCTGTACATCAAAGTGTTGTGCCAAGCCCTCCATGAGTGCTGGCACTCTCACAATACTTCATCTGCTTTGAAGTTTCAGGGATTTTTGCTGATAATGTAGCAAAACTACAGAAGTAACAGTATAGCCTTGAAAACAGAAGTTCAAATTTCAGAAAATTCTCATTTGAAAATTTAAAGTGTTCAAAACCATTTTAGGTGTGGAGATTTTTTTTTTTTTTTCTGCACTGAGGATTCAGCACATGCTTAAAGTGTGAGACTCTGCAAATATTGGTTTAATTTGTAGTAGGAAATTTCATGTTTCTGACCAAGGATTAAGAAACAATTTTTAACTCATTTGGGTTTATGCTGCAATTGAAAGTAAATGTTTGCAATAATGTGTTCTATATTGATTCAAAATCTTCGGTCCTATTCTACTGTAGCCTTTCCTCTTTCTTGCAGGACTAACCTGCACAAATTAATAAATCTTTGCATATTTAGTTCCCTTACTGTTTTCATTGGTGTGTTACATGCTTGTCTTTCTTTCTTCAAAGGAAAGAATAGCATGTTCCCTGTTTTAATTTGTACATAAAAAAAAAAAAAGACAAAATTACAGGTGTTCCTGTTATTTTATGTTTAAAAAGTGATACTGAATTCTCATTGTCTAAGTTTCCTTGCACTTGTGCTGAATTTTGTGGGAAGTTGAAGCATGACAGTCTGTTTAGGGCTAACAGCTTCCAATTACTTGTGATTACTTTTGTGATTACTTGTGACTCCAATTATTAACCTGAAGGTTAATGCAAGAAATAAAAGCAAACAAACAAACACCCCACTTCATTCTTTATTTGGTATCTTTGCATTATTTTCCCTTTTATTATTTATAGAAGTTTAATTTGTAAATCAGAGCAAGCAGATATACTTAACCACATCCCCTGGTGGTACTTTGACTACTTGTTTTGGCATTGCATGATGGAGAAAGCAGAGGCTACTTCTGCTCCCATGATGAAGTCCATGAGGACTTTATCATGCCTCTTGGTGAATCTGATCATGATGATTAGATTTCACTTGAGAACCCAAATATAGGCTAATGTTGTACATGTGTTAAAGCCTTTAGGGTACAGTCATATGTCAAACTACTTGGAGAAAGTTTTCCTCCTTCATGTGATATGATATCCTTCAGGAGAACACAGGACAATTTTTCTTTATATTCAGCTATGGACTTGTGGGTTACAGGTTGTTCTCCAAGCTCGTTGGGGAGTTCCTGTAAATAGCAGTACTCTAGCTAAAAGCCAGGAGTGCTTGGTACAGTGTTGTTGGTTTTTTGTTTGTTTGTTTCATCCCTCTGGGAACACAGGGGCTGCTGAGCCATTTTAGAGGAGTGTACTTTTTGAAGTAATGGATGTGTCAAAGGAAAATTTGTACAGGTTTGTAATATATACATATAGTTCAAGAATAATGGAACTGTAGAAAGGTTCTTGATCTGTTAATTAGTGATAGGGGTATGATACAGGAGTTTCATATTTGTTTTCTTATTACAGAAAGGTCGAGAATATATTGTATATAATTGTCATATAAATAAAATAAGAAATACCTTATAATATAGCAGAGAATGTTGATGTCAACAACATTGTTGATGTTGATTTTCAAATCCTTCTGTCCCTCACAGCTGTAAGGCAGTCAATAAATTTCCAATGGTCAGTCAGATATTATGCAAAAAAAAAAAAAAGTGTCATATTGCTTATGCAATTTTTGTTCTAGAAATCACTTAACTACTCCTATTAAGAAAAAGCACTCAATTTCTTTTCCTATGTCATATCTGACATAGGAAAACCTATATACGGAAACCTATATATAGGAAAACCATGTATATGTCATATAATTTAATGCTGGTTAAAAACAAAACAAAAACAGCAGCAACATCATTCGATTTCTTTCTCTTCAAATGGAAATCTGTTTCTTAATTTGTCTGTTATAATCATTGAAGGAGTTAAAATCACTAATAAGCAAAGTATTAATAAATGCTTCTTAATTAGAAAATAATAGAAAGTAAGTCAAAAGACAAGTTTTGTATTCACATTCTTTTTTCTTTTAATTCTTATAACCTTATGCCAACCTCCAAGCAGAAGAGGACTCATTCATGTAAATGTTCTGAAGGCTGTATTAGTGTAGCCTACGTAGAATTCTTTGGTCAGGGTGTTCTTGTATTTGATAAGTTTAAGAAAATTTGTTCTGTATTGGTGGCACTTGAAGTAATAATAGCAATACTATGTGAAATCTGAGTAAATCTGATTTCAACAAATTTTCATTGTATATTAAGCAAAGAAAGTATAAAACTATCTAGCCCAATATGAATGTGGTTCTCAATGGAGCCTGCATTTAACAAAATAAAAATTGTAATGAAAAATGAAAACATGAGCTTCCAAAAGTAGACTATGCTGTGGGACAAAGCAATTTTCTAATGAGAGGTTTTCTTGATGCAGAGGTCAGGCTCTGTTGAAAAAACAATGCTCACTTTTCTAAGTACCTTACAAGCAAATGTGATATTGCTGATTTAAGAGAATGTGTATTCTCTCCCACTACCCCCATGCAACTAAGCATTCGTTGGGTCTTGGAAACATCAGCTTTCATGAGAGACCGAGTGTATCAGCATGCTTGGAATAAAAAGAAAAGCACCTCCAGAAAAGTAATGCTTTTTTCCTTTTCCTCTCTCTGTTGTTTTCATACAGTACTAAGAGTATATAAGATGTTATGCCAAAAGGGATTTGTCCTTTTTATCTAGTAAGAAAAATGCTTTTGTTATTTGCATTTCTGAATTGCTTAGCTGCCCAAGCATGCTTTATGTGTGCTGCTTGAAATGTGTCATTGAATCACGTGAGTGCTGTTCTCTAGCTGATGTTGGACTTCCTCCAACAAATATGGATTATGTTAAAGTAGGTTCTGAATTGACGAGGATATGTTAATAACTCCCAGATGGGCATCTTTGTGCAGGGAAATACAAGCAGTGTATGGCAGGAGCTAGTGTTTGGCAGGTCCATCATTCCGTCATTAAAGGCCACATTATTACTTACAACTCTGCTTGCATGACAATTGCTTGCATAAACTTAGTCTCTCAATAATAAATACACACAATTTGCTTTTAGATATGTTTTCCTCTTGCAAGGATTTTTTTTATATGCCAGCTGGTTTTTCCTCCAGTTTAAAATATGGATTTTTGAAAATGAAATAATAGCATGAAATAAACACTTAGGTTCCACAAATTCATGGTTAAGATCATTTTTTTCAGATGTATGATAGAAGCACAAAATACTTGCACCTTACTTTTTTTTTTTTCAGTCTATTATTCAAAGCTTAATGCTAACTCAAGAATTCTGATTGGATCAGCACATTTTCACTGTGTTTATTTAAATTGTATTTATAATTACAATTGGATATGCTATGTTTAAAAAAAAAAGTTTATTTCATTCTCTAAGGGGGTTTGTAGCCTTCCTATGAACAGTTAAAAATAATGTTGTTTTTCACTTAGTTGTATGGATAAAGTTGTTATGATTAGATAACTATATAGGCAACATACACTGAGTATGAATTATACAATAAAAATGTTCGCTATTTGCTATGCATCTTGATCACTGCACTTGTGCTTCATTTATTAATCCATTTCACCAAAACATTCCGAAGCTCTGTTCAAAGCAAACATCTGCAAAATGTCTCTGGCTGGAAAATATTCCTTCCTTCCTTTTCCACCCAACATTTTTTTTTTTTTTTTGCAGTTCTACCCCTCCTAAATATCAAGTCATGAACCTGAAAAGAAATGCAAAAGCCACACCAATTTTTGAGGTATCAAAAAAAAATATAAAATTAATTGCATCTTTCACTGCTAGCTAGAAGGGGAATAAGGGCTTGGGATTTGGGAAATGGGATACTTTGGGATTCCCAGTTTCTGTTTTTATCTTCAGTCCTAGAGCCTTGATTCTGGGGGTGGAGCCTATAAAGCTGGACTTCTGGTAATGATCTGGGGAGTAGTTCCCAGGTAAGATGATATAAATAACATGGGCAATAATATAAAAAAAAAAAAAATGTAGCGAATGTCATGAATGTTTTTATCAGTTGCCTAGGTCATTCTGCACGGAAGTCAGATCTTTACCTCATTTTAATATATTCTCAAAAGCATGCATGTATATTTTCTCACTAATGCACTTATGCTCAAACCTGGATTTTGACTGGCATATCAATGATGATGATTACTTCACCTTTTTTATTAAGAACAATGAAGTATACATTTTGCAATAATCTCATTGAGCCAGCTGATGAGAATTTGCATTTCGCAGTACATTCTGGAGAATACTGCTGTGCTGGGGCAGTATTTTCTGTTGATGACCCAAAACATCAATACCATCCAGTGTCTGGAATTGACCCAAGCAACAAAGATACTGTGAGGGCTTCACATATTTTTGTACTTCTCCAGTCTCTTTCTGCATGTTATGATATTATTACTCTCAATCTGGCACTTAATTTTCTTGGCTCTTAAAATGAGTGTTGTAAGAGCAGTTGAATGTAATATGTGGTATTTTAATATTGTGACTCTTAATGCTACATAAAACCTTTGTTTCCTACAGGTTTATTGAGCTGGTGTATTAGATTTCCTGCTGCATGAGCAAGAAGATTATGGTGGCTTACGTCTAAGTGTACTTTTGGGAGGCATTTTGTATTTTCTCTATAAATAGTCTTTCTAAAACACAATTGTGAAACTATTAATGTTTATATCGCATTATACATCTCTCTAAGTTTACTGTGCTGAGTATACAGTGTGGTAGCAAGAGGAAATCTTTTTGTCTAAGAAACATGTTCAGAATTGTCATTGTTAAAAGGCTACTAAAAGGCAGGATTGTTATATTTATCTTTTTATCTGTAGGGTGTTTTTGGCTTGTTATACTGAGCCATTCCTCTTTTCAACAATAGTAAAATTGCATCTCTTAAGGAGTTAAGCTCTTCAATAGAACTTAAAAATGTTGAACTTCCAGCAGAAGTGTGGGCATCATGGCTATTCTTTTTGTGTCGGAAAAATGTCAAATGAGTCTACTGCAATTATAAGCTCTTCACAGATAAACCTTGGACTTGGGGCTGAGAGCACGTGCATAGTATAACTTGTATTTTACACTGAATATTTTTTTTTTTCTTAAGAAAAAGAAAGCATTTATTATGTAATTTAAAGAAAAAAGCAATGGAAACATCCTTCATCCTAAAATAAATGGAAAATATATGTAGGTGGAAGGAAGCAGAGGAAGTTCATATATGTATTATATTACTGATGTATATTCTGTTTTGAGAATAATGTAATGAGCAATTTCTTCACAATTTATAAGACGATGCCACAGGCCTAACTCTGCAAGGTCCCTTGGAACCACTTATTCATCCGTATGTGAACAGCCAGTTTCATTATTTTTAAAAACAGAACATGAATGAAACAAATGGTTAGTGTCGCTCTGTCCAGCAAAATGAAAGATTATCATCTCAAGCAGTGGCTGTCAGGTGGACCAGGTCCAGCTCTGCATCCTCCTTGGGTTTAGATGCAGGGTGATGTGTGGGTAATCTGCAATTTGCTGGGGGCATCGTTAGCTGGCTCTGCCTCCAGGGTAGGATTTGAAGCAGGCCTGGAGCAGCTGTGTGCCAGGTGGGTTGGGGAGGGATGCTCGATGCCCCACCATCACCCACTGGAGGTGGTGCCAAAGCCCCGGTGACACGGAGGAGGCATTAGGTCACATGAGTTACATTAAGTGGCAAGTGATAAATTCAAGATGACAATTCAAAACAGCGGTGTTTCTCCCAGTAATTAATTCCAGTGGTGCCTGAGGCAGTGCTTAGTTGCTACAGCCATTGTGGCCAAAGCTGAGCAGCTAATGAGAAAACATTACAGTAAGGATTAGGGGCCAGTGCATTCTGGCAGGATGAGGTCACTATGATTAGAAAGTATTAATGCAGGTTTACTGTGATAAACTATGACAAAGAAACTTTGTGTTATTTGTGAGTGGTTAAAATGAAGAATTTTTTTTAGTCATTATTTTTTTCCCCTCAAACGGCTTTTACACACTGCTTGGTCCAGTGGCACCAAGCACTGCATTGGTCCTGTCACATGCAGTCCAGGCCAAAGCTAGTAAATTGCTGCAACCAGACACAAATTCTTTCTTCCCTTTCATTTGTTCTAATTACTTTTGTCAAGTAATAGTAAACACTCAGCTTAGAGGATTGAGTTTTGCTGTTGTTACCTATGATTAGAAAGAATGATGAGAAAATAACACTTCCATGTTCAGCATCCTCCTGCCCTCAGTCAGCAGTGGAGATGTGGTTGCACAGTATTGGCTAGCAAAAGCCAAGCAAGAGCTTCCTAAAACTTCCACTGTCTTAGGTATGAGGAAAGGCTGCCTAAGAATAGAGTTTTTTAGGTACAGTCCTTCACTGTTGCTGCAGCAGCACAAGTTTGACTGAGTTATTTGTGAAGAAAACTCCACAGACAGTGGAACTTAAAATAAATAAATAAATAAAATAATGTTTCTCTGAGATTTTCCCAGGCTGTTAACCCCCATAGCTGCAGATTTGCATTATGAATAACTACAAGTGCTGTGTACTATCTTAATGGAAACCCATGGGTTATAATGTGCTTATTAAACGCTTTTACCAACAGACTTGAAAAAGTGTTCTGCTAATTATGAAGTGATACTTATCTCATAACTGTTTCATGTTAATTGCAAGGATATAGATGAGATAGACTGCATGTTGTGGCATCCGCGTTTTTGTTGTCTAAAGCCTAACAGTTATTTTCACATTTTGCTTTGTTTTCTTGTTACCATATTTACGCAACAACCACTTTTCATCTGAAAGCACTGCAAATACTTCAGTACAAGTACTTCTGTAGGGCAGATAAAAATAGTATTTAATCAGAACGGTAAGACTTGATCTAGTCCCAAATGTCAAATAATATAACTAACTAGCAAGCTTGTAACCAAATCTTTATATTATCTCAGAAAATATGTTTCAAGTACTATGTACTATTAATGTTTGTACCCTACATCTTATATTAAAGTACACACCTTTATCTTTTAACATCAGTTAAAAAAAATCAGCAAGACATTATGCATTTTCTGTTGTATTTCACTCACCTAACTTGTACCTTTTATAACAATTTCCAGAATACTCATAGAAGAAAACATAATACCATATATTTTTTTCTCTCATTCAATTATTTTTATACAGCATTGAACTAATATAGTGAAAACATGCAGTCTCTGATAAAAAACAAACAAACAAAAAAACCCAACAACCTTAAAAGTGATGTTTGAGATCTACAGTTACATAAGTATATGTATATATAAAATATGAAATACATTTTCATAATCAGACTTGCAATGACACTAATATTTCTCTGATGAGCAGTGGAAGTATCATCAAGGGTAATGTGCAGTAATATGAGCTGTAATCTAGTAAGTGTCAATGGTTTCCATGGTACTAAAATCTTTTTGAACATGTTCCTATTTCTGTTTGTATAACAAGCTTGTCAGTTTGCTCAGGTTTCATTCATTTATTTGTGTAGTTGCACAGTGGACAATTATTTTATCTTCATTTTCAGGCAAAGGATAAAATATCCCATAGTTTAATCTCCGTAACACACAGACATAGAATTTTCATGAATTGGAAATTGTAGTTAAAATATATTAAATGCAACAATTAGGCCCAATTGCCATTTATTTTTAATGTTTAAAACACATTTAGGCCAAAGACTTTAAGAGCAAATTAATCTCTAAGTGGGACAATTAAAACCCAGGGTTAGAGCTATTAGAGTTCTAGATAAATTCTGGAATTTCTGTAGATTCATAGAATGTTATTGCAGTGATGAAACAGTCACGTAATTATCTGTGTTTCAGAGGAAAAAATATGCCTTTCATGGAAGGCATGGGGAAAATGCTTTTTGGCTACCCATTTGAACTCGTGTTGGAGTCTGCCATTTGAAGAGAGACGAACAAATGTGTAATGGTGTTCAGATGAATAGGAGTGCATTTACCACATCAGCAGGTAAGATCTATGTAGTGCTAATTGCTAATCATTTACAACCCACGTTAGATCAATTTGCTCATCGGGATTTTGTGAGCATAATAAAATGTGAGCAGGTGTAAGAAATCTTTGCGTAGGTTTTCTGTTTGCAAAATACAACTGTTGCAAGTCTTCGTTTCCATGGCAGGCATATTTGATTGTCCTATCTTATGGCTCCTGAGCCAGAATAAGGCTTCTGATAAGGCTTCTGAGACTAATATACAGTAATATTAATGTAGAAGAGAATGTCTACAGATGCCATAGTGTTTAAGAAAGAAATTGTCATGAAGATAGTTTTTTACATGTTTTTCATGTCTTTCTCTGGAATTTTATAATTAGTGGAGATAGCTATGTTTTGCTACTATTTAAATTATGAAATGCTTAGGAATGGTATTGTGAGAAATATTTCGGATAGGTTGAAGTGTTAGGCTCTAAATGGATTATAATGTTCCATATTTCATATTTTATATATTTATAAAATATATAAATATTTTTTATATATTTCTTGTTAAACTGGAGTGCCTGGAAAACAAATTGACTGCAAGTTTTTGAGAACTTTTAAAAATTATTCTAATAACCATTCCAAAATGTCTCATTAATACAACAATGATCATATCAAATAAAGCCTCAGTATCGCTTCCAGTTTTAAATATGAGTAATTAGGAACGCATTAAAAGTAATGCACATAAAAACTTTAAAAATAGATTTTCAGTATGACTGTGGGATATGTTCTCACATCAGAGGACGGCCAATGAGTCTGGGCTTTAATTCTGAAAAAAATAAGCCACAGTATAGTTTAAATACAGGCTTTTTATTGAATCCCAACTACTGAATTTCACAACATCAAAATAAATGTTTTATTCCACAGATTTAGGCAGGTTTTGGAAAGTCTGTGTCTCTTTCTGTTTTTTTTTGTTTGTTTGTTTGTTTGTTTTTGTTTGTTTTGTTTTGTTTGTTTTTTTCCAGAACAAGCTCACAAATTTATTAATAGTTCCTACTTTGGATCCCAATGTCAAACCCATATGGTTGGTAGGAAAAGAGAAGCTTGGAAACATTTTTTGCTGTGTCATATCTCTGGTTTATGCTTACTAGTACCTACATTTTATATTCTTTTTCCATCCTTTAGTACCTGAAGCTATTTAGTGCAGTGAACGTGGGGCCGGCTGCACGCATAAACACTGAGAGATGACAGTGTTTGCTGCAGTGGGAAACCAGGGAATATATAATTGCATTGTTGTCTCTTGTTCCGTTCCCACATGTAACTTGCTTAAATGTCACTGCAAGCTGCAGGCTCTCACTCTTCCTTTCACTGTGAGCCTTATCCAACCCACGCTCAACCATTGCGAGTGCAGAGCCTGAGCCAGTGCCCAACACCCCTTGGGGATTCATATTCAGGCATCACTGATCGTTGACCTGGCTATTGTTGTTTGTGATACTTACTGGTAAACTTTTGTAATCAATACAACATCAGCCCGCTCAGCTCCTGGGAATGGAAACCTGAAGCAGCACACTTAATCTTGAGCTCCTGCTCCCTGCTCTGCTGCTAAACCAGGCGGTTGGCCTCCGTGATGCAGCATGATTGCCGCAGAGGTCAGGAGAGAGCTGGTTTGGCAAGTGCTGATGGATGGCTGCTCATGATTAAGCACCTTGTCCATCCAATGAGAGGCGTTAATAATGATGGACCATAACTGTGGGCACAAAAAAGCACATAGCTTGTTCATGGACTTGCACAGTGAGAGCTGGTGGGTGCCATGCAGTAATTTGGAGCAAGTCTTTAGGGAAACGAAGAAAAAAAAATGAAGAAAGTGAGATCTCATTAAAAGTTAGAAAAACCTTCCCATTCGTTACAAAATTGGAACATTTGCTGTAAATATGTCACTGTGCATGTATTTCCCTGCCATTCTTCTTGTGTTGGGTCTTTTCCTTGAACTTAAATAATAGTAGCTACACTGCAAATTGAAGAAAACAAGAAATGATCCTGAAGGCTACTATATTAAAATCAGAAAATACGATCTCTACAGGAATTTACTCAAATTTGTATGTTCCACTGCCAAATACCATATTTTGCCTGAAATCAGTGATAGGGGCTGAGCCCTGGTACTTTGGTATGTTTGGCAAAAATTAAATTTTTCCCCTTTAGAAAGGGGAGAAATCTCTGTGAATTAAATGGATTGTGAAAAGCTCACCTCTTAC